CTGTTGCCAGTGTTCCAGGGAATACAAGTTGAGGAACTTCAAGCATCCCCAGTAACCAGTAAGTAAGTAAGTTTATTCAGGTATACACAAATACAGTTACTACATAGATTATCATACATAGCAGCATATGTGTAAAGAACCTGGGATAACCCAAAAAAGTCAGAGTGACTTATTTCCATTGGGGTCCTTTTACCTTATTATTATAATATAAAGGTTATAATATTTTCTTATTATTCTATAAAGAAGATAACATCTTATTATCATACTAAAAAGACTATCAACTACACGAGGGTCATTAAGACTATCTACAATATGAGGGTCGTTACTAGGAATAAGGTAAATTTACACGTATGTTAGCTAAAAAATAGAAAATCATTCCCCTCCCTTTCTATAGCTACATTCATCAGACACCTCTGGGCACTCTTCTTGAACTGGTTCATGCTATGACTGGCTTTGACATGTGTGGGTAGTCTGTTCCATTCCTTTACTGCTGTACAATAAAAGGTGTTTGAAGCCTGGCCACTGACTGTGGGTACTACAAAGTTGTGCTCCCTCCCCCTGGTACTATGATTGCTTTAGTTCCCAACCTTGACAAAATTGACAGCAAGATATTCTGGACACTGTTTGTGAGCAATTTTATAAACATGATTTAGCTTCAGTTGTTTTACTGTCTTCAACATTCAGCATATCCAACTGCTGTAATTCATCCTGGACTACATGTCCTCTTGGTCCCAGACCCAGGATGAATCTTACGATTTTGTTCTGGGTGATTTGCAGTCTATCTTTCAGTTTTTTTGTCAAGGCAGAGTACCATGAAGAGCAAGCGTAATACATATGGCATTGTATAAGGGCTAGACATAGGGTCCTGCGAGCCTCAGTAGGTAGACACTGTGCCTCAGTAGGTAGACACTGTGCCTCAGTAGGTAGACACTGTGCCTCAGTAGGTAGACACTGTGCCTCAGTAGGTAGACAGTGTGCCTCAGTAGGTAGACACTGTGCCTCAGTAGGTAGACACTGTGCCTCAGTAGGTAGACACTGCACCTCAGTAGGTAGACACTGTGCCTCAGTAGGTAGACACTGTGCCTCAGTAGGTAGACACTGTGCCTCAGTAGGTAGACACTGTGCCTCAGTAGGTAGACACTGTGCCTCAGTAGGTAGACAGTGTGCCTCAGTAGGTAGACACTGTGCCTCAGTAGGTAGACACTGTGCCTCAGTAGGTAGACACTGCACCTCAGTAGGTAGACACTGTGCCTCAGTAGGTAGACACTGTGCCTCAGTAGGTAGACACTGTGCCTCAGTAGGTAGACACTGTGCCTCAGTAGGTAGACACTGTGCCTCAGCAGGTAGACACTGTGCTTCAGCAGGTAGACACTGTGCCTCAGTAGGTAGACACTGTACCTCAGCAGGTAGACACTGTACCTCAGCAGGTAGACACTGTACCTCAGCAGGTAGACACTGTACCTCAGCAGGTAGACACTGTACCTCAGCAGGTAGACACTGTACCTCAGTAGGTAGACACTGCACCTCAGTAGGTAGACACTGTGCCTCAGTAGGTAGACACTGTGCCTCAGTAGGTAGACATTGTACCTCAGTAGGTAGACACTGTGCCTCAGTAGGTAGACACTGCACCTCAGTAGGTAGACACTGCACCTCAGTAGGTAGACACTGTACCTCAGTAGGTAGACACTGTACCTCAGCAGGCATACACTGTACCTCAGCAGGTAGACACTGTGCCTCAGCAGGTAGACACTGTGCCTCAGTAGGTAGACACTGCACCTCAGTAGGTAGACACTGCACCTCAGTAGGTAGACACTGCACCTCAGTAGGTAGACACTGCACCTCAGTAGGTAGACACTGCACCTCAGTAGGTAGACACTGCACCTCAGTAGGTAGACACTGTACCTCAGCAGGTAGACACTGTGCCTCAGTAGGTAGACACTGTGCCTCAGCAGGTAAACACTGCACCTCAGTAGGTAGACACTGTGCCTCAGCAGGTAGACACTGTGCCTCAGCAGGTAGACACTGTGCCTCAGTAGGTAGACACTGCGCCTCAGTAGGTAGACACTGCACCTCAGTAGGTAGACACTGCACCTCAGCAGGTAGACACTGTGCCTCAGCAGGTAGACACTGTGCCTCAGTAGGTAGACACTGCGCCTCAGTAGGTAGACACTGCACCTCAGTAGGTAGACACTGCACCTCAGTAGATAGACACTGTACCTCAGTAGGTAGACAGTGTGCCTCAGTAGGTAGACACTGCACCTCAGTAGGCAGACACTGCACCTCAGTAGGTAGACACTGTGCCTTAGTAGGTAGACACTGTGCCTCAGTAGGCAGACACTGCACCTCAGTAGGTAGACACTGTGCCTCAGTAGGCAGACACTGCACCTCAGTAGGTAGACACTGTGCCTCAGTAGGTAGACACTGTGCCTCAGTAGGCAGACACTGCACCTCAGTAGGCAGACACTGTACCTCAGCAGGTAGACACTGCACCTCAGTAGGTAGACACTGCACCTCAGTAGGTAGACACTGCACCTCAGTAGGCAGACACTGCACCTCAGTAGGTAGACACTGCACCTCAGTAGGCAGACACTGCACCTCAGTAGGTAGACACTGTGCCTCAGTAGGTAGACACTGTGCCTCAGTAGGTAGACACTGCACCTCAGTAGGTAGACACTGTACCTCAGTAGGTAGACACTGCACCTCAGTAGGTAGACACTGCACCTCAGTAGGTAGACACTGTACCTCAGTAGGTAGACACTGTACCTCAGTAGGTAGACACTGTACCTCAGTAGGTAACATGTACCTCAGTAGGTAGACACTGCACCTCAGTAGGTAGACACTGCACCTCAGTAGGTAGACACTGCACCTCAGTAGGTAGACACTGTACCTCAGTAGGTAGACACTGTACCTCAGTAGGCAGACACTGTACCTCAGTAGGCAGACACTGTACCTCAGTAGGTAGACACTGCACCTCAGTAGGTAGACACTGCACCTCAGTAGGTAGACACTGTACCTCAGTAGGTAGACACTGTGCCTCAGTAGGTAGACACTGCACCTCAGTAGGTAGACACTGTACCTCAGTAGGTAGACACTGTACCTCAGTAGGCAGACACTGTACCTCAGTAGGCAGACACTGTACCTCAGTAGGTAGACACTGCACCTCAGGAGGTAGACACTGCATGGGTCAAAGGGGATTCCCAGATATTTTACTGATAAAACCAAAGTGAGGGGCTCCCCATTACACTGGACATTAAAATTATTTACCCTTCTCAGTTTATGTTTCGTGCCAAAGAGAACGACTTCAGTTTTCCCGAGGTGTAATAATAGTTCGTCGTCTACTAACCATTTGCCACAGGACTCCAGTTCCAGTGTTAAAACATTAGCAATATCTTGTGGGTCTTTACCTGACACTAACAGAGCACTGTTATACAGTAGGAGTTTGTACTTGACACTGATAGGCATGTCAATGATATTATTTTTATAATCAAGGGGAAGTGCTAAACCATGTCATTGACATAACATAATAATAATAATGGACCCAGAATACTACCTTGGGGAACTCCACGTAATATAATAATAATAATGGACCCAGAATACTACCTTGGGGAACTCCACATAATATAATAATAATAATGGACCCAGAATACTACTTGGGGAACTCCACATAACTATAATAATAATAATGGACCCAGAATACTACCTTGGGGAACTCCACATAATATAATAATAATAATGGACCAGAATACTACCTTGGGGAAACTCCACATAATATAATAATAATAATGGACCCAGAATACTACCTTGGGGAACTCCACATAATATAATAATAATAATGGACCCAGAATACTACCTTGGGGAACTCCACATAATATAATAATAATAATGGACCCAGAATACTACCTTGGGGAACTCCACATAATATAATAATAATAATGGACCCAGAATACTACCTTGGGGAACTCCACATAATATAATAATAATAATGGACCCAGAATACTACCTTGGGGAACTCCACGTTATCGGCAAGGGTTCTGATTCCGTTTTGTTGATTTTGACAATTTGTCTCCTGTTGCTAAGGTAGGACTTAAACCAGTCGACAGAACCGATACCGATAGCTTGAAGTTTATTACATAATATATTGTTGTTGACAGTATCGAAGACCTTTTGCAGGTCTAAGGTTACCATAACACGGGCGGGGAAAGAACTCTGGCCGCGGGTTCTATCTCCACCCGTATTATGGTTTGTTTGCATCATGTCATTACGATTTCGTGAGTCAAGTCTAAGGTTACCACACCTATGAGGTTCCCCACTAACATTTCAGTTTTCAAGTAATCCATCAGATTAAAGAGATGTGAGTTGAGTAACAGCTCCTGAACCCTAATTAATAAAGAGTACTATCGCCATTAAGGTACATAATTAATATTATCGCCATTAAGGTACATAATTAATATTATCGCCATTAAGGTACATAATTAATATTATCGCCATTAAGGTACATAATTAATATTATCGCCATTAAGGTACATAATTACTAAACAATACACTGGATATTACACTGAGTATACTAATAGGCCTATACCTGCTGACATCACATCTATTTTTCTAGAAAATAGTATTAACTTTGACCTCATTTAAAGGTGATTGATAATTTAATATATAACAGAAATTAACAAGAATCATCGAGGTGTTGTACCTTATATATGACGTTCACTGTACATTTTCAAGGTCAGCACCTTCACCTGCCTTTAAAGGTGTATTAATAACGCCTATTGACCTTAAAAACCATTAAAAAAAACTGTTTATTACATATGACACAATTTATGGGTGTAGAAACGGACTCCAAAAACCCCCCTTATATCTACCTCTCACAGCTATATTATCAAGTTAAAAATAAAGATAAACCCATTAAACCAACACGGGGACATTAAACAATAGGGGGGAAGACAGAATGGGAGGAAAAAAACAAGAAAAATAGGGTAAAATAGGTGAAAAATACTGACGGTGGGAGATATAATTCTTGTTTTGCTTTCACACGTCAGACTTCACTGTGTCTCAATCCTCTCTTATTATTTATTTAACTAATAAACTTAATATATTCTCTCATATAAACATATATAATAATTACTTATGTGTCTCTTATATTTACAATTTGTTTATTTTTATAAAACATTAGTTAAGTTTTAAGTTTGTTAGAGATATGTTATGATTATTAAGCCGAAGTCAAGTGTCTGAAGGAACATTTAAATAAATTGTTAAATTATTTAAGAAATAAGTAAATAAATAAGTAAATAAGGAAATTAATTTATGCACAGATTAACATAAGTAAAGTAATAATAAGTAGAGTAAATTATCTTCCAGGATAACGTAAATAAGGCGCTCAGACTTACTTATTGTCCTCATTATACAATACAATACAATATAATATAATACAGTACAATATAATGCAATACAATACAATATAATGCAATACAATACAATGCATAAATAAATTTCTAAAAATACAATCAATAAAATACAATCAATAAAATACAATCAATACAATTACAATGCAATAAAATACAATACAATAAAATACAATACAATACAATGCAATAAAATACAATACAATAAAATACAATACAATACAATACAGTACAATACAATACAGTACAATACAATACAATACAATACAATACAATACAGTACAATACAATGCAATAAAAATAAATACAATAAAATACAATACATACAATACAGTACAATACAATACAATGCAATACAATACAATACAATACAGTACAATACAATACAATGCAGTACAATACAATACAGTACAATACAATACAATACAATACAGTACAATACAATACAATACAATACAGCACAATACAATACAATACAATACAATACAATACAATACAGACAATACAATTACAATGCAATACAAAACCCAAAACAATACAATACAATACAATACAAAAAATTCGTACAATACAATACAATACAGTACAATACAAAACATGCAAATACAAAAACAATACAATACAATAAATACATAAACACAGTACAATTACAAATTTCAATACAAAAACAATACAATACAGTTTTCAATACATACAATACAGTACAATACAATACAATACAATACAATACAATACAGTACAATACAATACAGTACAATACAATACAATACAATACAATACAGTACAGTACAATACAATACAATACAGTACAATACAATACAATACAATCAGAAATAAATTACAATACAATACAGCAATACAATACAAAGAGTACAAAACAAACAATACAATACAAACAATGCAGTACAAAACATACAGTCAATACAAAAAGTCAAACAATACAAACAAAAACTACAATACAAAACAATAATAAATAATAAAAATAAAAATAAAATTAATAATAAAAAATAATAATAATAATAATAATAATACAGTAAAAATAAAATACGTAATAATAATAATAATAATAATAATAATAATAAAAAAAAACAGAATAAAATAAACAGTAAATAATAATAAAAATATAATAATAATAATAATAATAAAAAATAATAATATAAAAATAATAATAATAATAATAATACAGTAATATAATAATACAGTAATAATAACAATAATAATAATAATAATAATAATAATAATATAATAAAAATACAGTAATAATAATAAAACAGTAATAATTAATAAAAATAATAATAATAATAATAATAATAATAATGAATAAATACAGTAATAATAATTATACAGTAAAATAACAATAATAATAATAATAATAATAATGATAATAAATACAGTAATAATAATAATAATAATAATAATAATAATAATAAATAAAAATAATAATACAGTATAATAATAATAATAATAATAATAATAATAATAATAATAATAATAATAATAATAATAATAATAATAATAATAACAATAATAATAATAATACATAAAAATAATTAATAGTATACAAGTAATAATAATAAATAAAAAATAATAATAGTAATAATAATAATAATAATAAATAAAAATAATAATAATAGTAATACGTAATAATAATAATAATAATAATAATAATAATAAAATAATAATAATAATAATAATAATAATAATAATAATAATAATAATAATAATAATACAGGAATAATAACAATACAGAAATAAAAGTATAATAAATAATAACAATAATAAATAATAATAATAATAACAATAATAATAATAATAATAATAATAACAATAATAATTATAATAAAAATAATAATAATAATAATAATAATAATAAAAATAAAATAATAATAATAATAACAATAATAAAAAATAACTAACAATAATAATAATAATAATATAAAATAATAATAATAATAATAATAATAATAATAATAATAAATAATAATAATAATAAATAAAACACAATAATAATAATAATAATAACAATAATAATAATAATAATAATAATAATAATAATAACAATAATATAATAATAATAATAATAAATAATAAAAATAATAATAATACAGTAATAAAAACAATACATATAATAATACTAATAATAAAAACAATAATACTACTTAAAAAACAAGTAATAATAAAAATAAATAATAAAAATAACAATTAATTAAATAATAATAATAATAATAATAATAAATAAACAGTAATAATAATAATAATCATAATAATAATAATAATAATCAAATAAAAATAGATAATAATAATAAATAATAACAATAATCATAATAAATAATAACAATAATAATAATAATAAAATAATAAAAATAATCATAACAATATTCATAATAATAAATAATATAATACTAATAATAATAATAATAATAATAATACAGTAAAAATAACCATACAGTAAATAAAAATAATAAAAAAATAACAATAATAATAATAATAAAAACAATAATAATAATAATAATAAATAATAATAACAATAATAATAAAAATAATAATAAAATAATAATAATAATAATCATAATAATAATAATAAAAATAAGTAATAATAATAAATAATAATACAGTAATAAAAATAATAATAATAATAATAATAATAATAATCAACAATAACAATAAAAATAATGAATAATAATAATAATAATAAAATAATAATAAAAATAATAATAAGTAATACAGTAATAATAAAACTATATTAAAAAATAAAATAAAATAATAATATAATAATAATAGAAAAAAATAATAATAATAAAAGATAATAGATAATAATAATAATAAAAATAAAAATAAAAATAAAAATAAAAATACTAAATATACATTAAAAATAATAATAATAATAATAATAATAATAATAAATAAAAATAATACAGTAATAATAATAAAAAATAATAATAATAATAAAAATAACAAATAATAATAATAATAAAAAATAATACTAATACAGTAATAATAATAATAATAATAATATATAATAATAATACTAAATAATAATAATAGATAATAAAAATATAATAAAACATAATACAGTAATAATATTAAAAATATTAAACATAATCAAGTTATTTTTAACAGTATATGAGAGTTGTTTGTTTACATTGTGTCAGCTGATGGTCAGCGGTCCAGTGTTGTGATGATGATATGAACGATGAGATGATGGAATGATGAGGACACGTACAGTAGTGAGGTGGTCATTAAAATTGTTATGTATCATGATGAAGATGATGATTAGGCACCTACAGTATGAGGTGAGTCCATTATAATGTTTATGTATCAGGATATATGATAATGATGAGGACTCCTACATAGTGATGCGAGTCATTATAATGTTATGTACCATGATGATAATGATAGAGGACCACCTACATAGTGAGGCGAGTCATTAAAAGAGATAAGATTTCGTTGGGATTTTTAACACCCGGAGGGTTAGCCCACCCAGGATAACCCAAAGAAAGTCAGTGCGTCATCTAGGAGCTATCTAACGTTATTTCATTGTTGGGTCCTTAATCTTGTCCCCCAGGATGCCACCCCACACCAGTCGACTAACACACCCAGGATGTGACCTCACACCAGTCCCACTAACACCAAGGAATGCCACCGCACACCAGTCCACTAAAACCCAGGATGCCCACCCACTACCATTCCACTAATACACCCAGGATGCACCCACACCAGTCGACTAACGACCCAGGATGGCCACCGCACACATACCACTAACACCAGGAGCCACCCACAAACCAGTCCCCCACTAACACCCAGGATGCCCACCCACACCAGTCCACCAAACACCCAGTACCTATTTTGCTGCTAGTGAACTAGACAACAGGTGTAAGGAAAAAACGTGTCGAAATGTTTCCACCCGCCGGGAATCGAACCCGGGGGGCCCTCCGTGGTGAACGGGAGCTTTAGCCACCAGGCCACCGCCACCAAATGTTAGGTATCTTGATGATGAGGACACCTACAGTAGTGAGTGAGTCATTTATAATGTTATTATCATGATGATGATGAGGACACTACAGTAGTGAGTGAAGTCCATTAAATGTTATGTATCATGATGATGATGAGGAGAGTCATTATATGTTATTATCATGAATGATGATGATGAGAGGATGATGGGACAGCCTAAGTAGTGAGGTGATTCATTATAATGTTATGTAACATTGATGGATGATGATGATGAAGAGACCAACCTATGTACAGTAGTGAGGTGAGTCATTAAATGTTTTGTATCATGATGATGAGACACCTAACAGTATGAGGTGAGTCATTATGAATTTATGGTATCAAATAATGATTAAGGCTCCCAGTAGTGAGGTGAGTCACAATGTTTATACATCATAACATGATCTGATGATAATGAAATAAGATGTAAAAATCTGGTTCCAGGAGGTTCCTTTGATGCCGGTGGATGGGGCTTCTTGATCCACAAAAGTGGATTTATCCTCAACTTCGTTGTATTGAACCTGAATTGCCTCCTGTTGGTTTGCGTGCAGCCAGCAGCAACAGCCTGGTTGATCAGGCGCTGATCCACCAGGAGGCCTGGTCACAGACGGGGCCGCGGGGGCATTGACCCCCGAAACTCTCTCCAGGTAAACTCCAGGTGTTCCCCAGTCGCTGTGTGACTCCTACAAGTTTAGCCCTTGCTTCTGACTGAAGTAAAATCAGATACCTTCATGGGAGGTTCCTTGATGCTGGTGAGGAGCTCTTGATCTTGGGAATTGGATCTATTCTGCAGTTCTCTGAATTAAGCCTAAATGCCTTCCAACCCCCCACAGGTGATATAATCCCTACAGGTTTAGCACTTTGGATCAAACCTGATTCCTTGCCATGTGCCCCTGGAACTTGACTTTTACCTCCCTTCCTGGATCAAACCTGAATGCCTCCCATACTTCAGGTGCTATATGACCCCTACAAGTTTTAGCACTTCCTGTCCCCATGATTAGAAAAGTAAATGACTCTTGGAAGTGCACTTCATATACTTAAATAAATTTTTATTTCTTTCTAAGGTTACGATGTGTGGTTTACGTTTCATAATTTGATTGGAAACAAAGAAAGCCACTATCACGCCAAGGCATTTTGGGCAGACTTAACCTAATACAGTGGACCCCCAAGTTAAAGATATTCTTTTCACTCCAGAAGTATGTTCAGGTGCCAGTACTGACCGAATTTGTTCCCATAAGAAATATTGTGAAGTAGATTAGTCCATTTCAGACCCCAAACATACACGTACAAACGCACTTACATAAATACACCTACTAATTGTCACATTCGGAGGTAATCGTTATGCGGGGGTCCACTGTACAGTGGTACCTCGAGTTTCGAACAACTCCCAACTCGAACAATTATGTAAGTGTATTTTGGGGGGTCTCAAACGGACTAATCTAATTTACATTATTCCTTATGGGAACAAATTCGTTCGGTATCGGCACTTGAACAGCCGTCTGGAATGAATTAGGTTTGTAACTCGAGGTACCACTGTTCTTATAGACTACTCAAGTTTAGACAGATGAAGAGTTGCAATTTACGTTTGTATACCTGTATGTTGGTTTGGTAGCCTCAGCCTATTATTCATATTAAAAATTTATTGATAATTACATGTTCAACAAAATTTAAATATAGTAATGTCTGAAAATGATGTATGTACTGTAATGGCAACCGGTACACTTAAATACCGTTACACATTATTATTATTGTTACTATAATCATGAGGGAGCACTAAACTTGTAGGGGTTATACAGGACCTGTGGGGGAATGGAAGGTATTCATGGTCAATTCGGGGAACTGGAGCACAGTTCCAAAATTCCCTAGATCAAGAGCCCATCACCAGCACCAAGGAACCTCCCTTGAAGGGAAAACAGTTATACAAATTATTACGTATACAGGGGTCCCTTGAAATCGTTGGGCTCGATAGTCGTCCTTTTCGGAAATCGTCGCGTTATTTTCGTCCAAACAATTGGCTTGCAAATGGTCGGTTGACTCGCTAATCGTCATTCGTCCTGGAAGCGTACTCACGGCTCTGAGCCGCCTTGGGCCTCCCTTCCCAGCCAGTGTGCCATTGTTTACCAGTGAGTGAGGGTCCCCCACTTTTTTCATACAAAAATTTCTTAATATTCCATTCAATTTAGTGCTTACAAGTGCTAAATAAGCTACCATGGCTCCAAAGAAAGCTCCTAGGCCAAGAAGGTAGAAATACGATTGAATTTAAAGAAAAACATCATTGAACAATATGAAAGTGGCGTCGTGTAGCCAAACTGGCCAGGATGTATAACAAACTCCATACAACCATATCTTCCATATAAACCATATCAAGGAACTGTTGTTGCTTTGAGAAAATTGTGGCCAGAATGTGTCCACAAGAGGGATTTAAAAGGGGTTTGTGACTGACCCTATTTAGCCAATGTCAGTTGTGAAATCTGTTGTGGCTTGGGGATTCCATGGGGTTGGATGTGAGTTTGGAGGAAAGTGTGAAGAGTTGGGAAGGACCACAACGAAGAGCTGAGGAGCTGCAAGAGCTTCAGCAGGAACAGCAACAGATCGCAGCTCAAATCTTGCTGGAGAGGAGGAGGAAGAGAGATGGAAAAAAGGTGCCTTCTTCAGAAATTAAGGAATTTTGAAATGTGGGGTAGGATGGAAAGATTTATGGAGAAACATCACCCTGAGAAGGATGTTGCAAGCCAATCGGCAAATTGTACAGTGACAGTCTTGGCAAATTTTAGGAAAGTTTTTAAAGAGATGCCAGAAACAGAGCTCTCTGGACAGTTTTTTTTGTGAGACAGGATCCAGTGACTCTCAGCTGGGCCTATGGCATTAAAAAACAGAGAAGAGAATAACCCCAGAAAAGGACTTGGTACCTGAGGTGTTGATGGAAAAAAATTTTTTGTTTTAATACTTCTGGGTGTCAGGAACGGATTAATTATTTTTTTTTTTATTATTATCACACTGGCCGATTCCCACCAAGGCAGGGTGGCCCGAAAAAGAAAAACTTTCACCATCATTCACTCCATCACGTCTTGCCAGAAGGGTGCTTTACACTACAGTTTTTTTAAACTGCAACATTAACACCTCTCCTTCAGAGTGTAGGCACTGTACTTCCCATCTCCAGGACTCAAGTCCGGCCTGCCGGTTTCCCTGAATCCCTTCATAAATTTTTACTTGCTCACACTCCAACAGCACGTCAAGTATTAAAAACCATTTGTCTCCATTCACTCCTATCAAACACCTCACCATGCCTGCTGGAAGTCCAAGCCCCTCGCACACAAAACCTCCTTTACCCCCCTCCCTCCAACCCTTCCTAGGCCGACCCCTACCCTGCCTTCCTTCCACTACAGACTGATACACTCTTGAAGTCATTCTGTTTTCGCCCCCATTCTCTCTACATGTCCGAACCACCTCAACAACCCTTCCTCAGCCCTCTGGACAACAGTTTTGGTAATCCCGCACCTCCTCCTAACTTCCTAACTACGAATTCTCTGCATTATATTCACACCACACATTGCCCTCAGACGTGACATCTCCACTGCCTCCAGCCTTCTCCTCGCTGCAACATTCATCACCCATGCTTCACACCCATATAAGAGCGTTGGTAAAACTATACTCTCATACATTCCCCTCTTTGCCTCTTTCTTATGGGGAAAATTGATTCGAAAATAGTCTATTTTGATAATCGTCGCACTTCCAGGAACGGATTAACGACAATAAACGAGGGACCACTGTATATGTATACGTATTACCATATACGTATTATTATATATATTGCCTTGAGTTATCCTGGATAATCTACACATATGTTACTATGTATGTAATATAATGTAACTGTATTTATGTGCACCTGTATGTAAATAAACTTACTTCAGGATCCTGTCGACTGCAACTCCAAAGGAAAAGTAAATACTGGTCCTGTTGTAAGGGAGAAGGGATCCGCAAGCACCTGAAGATCACTGCACAGAACACTCTCTCTCCCCGTTATAGCTCAGGCGGTTGTAATAGACATAAGAGGGGAAAATCTCCTACAGTGCGTGGACTCACACTTCAGGTGGATAATCCGGACTTCACCTTCAGAGCTGGGCAATGGTAAATATAAAAACAGATGAATAAATGGAAGGGTGGATGAGGGGCTTGTACTGCAGTCCACAAATTGACAGTCCGACACTCTAGCGGCCTGTCAATTTGTGGATCGCGGTTTCAGCCCCACGTTCACCCTTCATTGACAGTTGTTTATTACAACTTAATTTGAGTCCACAAGAACAGGTGTTGCGATTACCTCCTCTACTTTCTAGAATATCTTTTTTGTTTTTAAAGTATTAGGGAAGTCGAAGATGATGAGGTAAAGTGAATAGTAAGACAGGAAGAAAGACATGTCTGGGGGAATGTCAACCAGCATAAAAATAACAGCTAGAATTAGACAGCTCCCCCTCAAGGGAGGTACCTTGATGCTGGTGAGAGGCTCTTGATCCAAGGAACTGAACTTGTCCACCCTTCCTTGACTCAAACCTGATTGCCTCACGTTTCCCCAGGCAGTGTATGATCCCTGTGGTTTAGCACTTTCTCCTGAATATAACAATAACAGAATTAGGCAGAGAGGGTATATTAAAAATTTGATGGATAAACTGATAAAAAAAATACTGAAGAAATGTAAATATAGTCATCGTTACTTGATGGAAAAGTAGTACATTGTAGAATAATATATCAGATGATTCAGTATAGCATAGTACAGGAGGGCCCCGCTGATACAGCAGGTTAGGTTCCGGGCTACTGCTGTACGTGCTGCATTTCAATGAAAGAGGTAAGAGTATTACTGCTGAAGTTAAAAAGCACAGTTTTTCATACTGAGAAACTTACTCGCCATCATATGTTATGTGTAATGATTGCCTCCTGATAAAAAAAATTCTGATCATTGCATTTTTACTATTGGAAGTAATTTAAATGTATCCTACTCACGAAATCGTAATGACATGATTGCAGACAAACCACAGTATGGATGAGGATTGAACTCGCTGCAAGTGAGACATAAAACACTAGACCGGTACGTTAGCCACTGGCCCAGTGGTTAACGCGCCGGTCTAGAGTTTTGCAACTCACTAGCTGCGAGTTCAATCTCTACCCCTACTGTGGTTTGAATGTGTCCTAATTTACTGTTTTTGATTACTATTTCTTTAGGGTAGATATGTTCATCCCGGGCATGGAAACGGTGGGAGGTTTCTCCATGTACTCAAGCCCAATGTTATTGTCTGAGACCGGAACCTTGCAGCTTGGTGTCAAGTTCTCCAGGTGGCCGCCTGCTTACTGGGTACACAAACAGGTATTAATCTCCAGTTTCAACATATATTATCATTATCATTATTGTTTTTAATATTATTATCTTTAAAAAAGAAAGGCTAGACCTTGTGGGGTCATGCAGAGTTACATTGGAAGAGAAGTGCTTTAATCTCTGGTTATCACACGAATATATGTAGTCACACTCCAGTAGGCCTGCTAGCCCAACCATTCACTCTTAAAAAACAATGTACTGTTTGCAAAGACATAAAATAAATAAATAAAGGGTATTAGTCCAACCTATATTTCAAGCTACCCAGTCAGAGTCAAATAATAATAATAATAATAATTATTTCAGCATGTTACAGTGTATAAAGGAGAATGACAGTTGGATGTACATGCCAACAGCCCCTATGTATTCAAAGCATTTTGGGCAAACTTAAGACTAACTTAAGATTAATAAGGCAGTAACAGTATGAGTAATTTTGTGCATACAGTTACTTAGGTGAGAGTAAGTAAGATTAATCTCCACACGACACAATGTTTGTACAGGGACGGGTGACATTTGGTTGTGCATGCATAAAGCCAGTGGTTATATAGAACATTTTGGGTATACAGTGGACCCCCGCATAACGATCACCTCCGAATGCGACCAATTATGTAAGTGTATTTATGCAAGTGCGTTTGTACGTGTATGTTTGGGGGTCTGAAATGGACTAATCTACTTCACAATATTCTTATGGGAACAAATTCGGTCAGTACTGGCACCTGAACATACTTCTGGAATGAAAAAATATCGTTAACCGGGGGTCCTCTGTATTTACACTGCTTTGCAGCATGTTTCACTCATTTACAACTATATTTCCAAACCAGTACTGTACTTCCCTATATTCTTTCACTATGAGAATTTATCCAACTTTAACCTAGTTACAGTCAACTGATATAGTATATCTAACATCCATTATTTAAGCTGGTTGGTGAAGCATTTTCCTTTAACTATTTTATGCAATGTGCTCATTGATTTTTAATTTTTTATATAAAAATTGTGTTAACTGTAAATAAAGGGTAAAAGAGGGACCTTGTTATTAATAGTGGAAATAAGCTGCACTGCTTGTCTTCCTTGACTTTCTGGGTTATTAACTCCCACTTGAGTCTTTCATGAATGTGACGCTAAACTCTCAATACAGTGGACCCCCGCATAACGATTACCTCCGAATGCGACCAATTATGTAAGTGTATTTATGTAAGTGCGTTTGTACGTGTATGTTTGGGGGTCTGAAATGGACTAATCTACTTCACAATATTCCTTATGGGAATAAATTCGGTCAGTACTGGCACCTGAACATACTTATGGAGTGAAAAAATATCGTTAACCGGGGGTCCACTGTATTTCCAAGTTTGAAGAATCCGTTGATAGCATACCCATGCATTCTACCCTTGGTTTTAACTCTTGGAAATCTTTGTTTATACAAAATTGTAAAAACAAATTTTCCACACTACTCTGTGTCATGGAAAAATGCACAAATGTAATATAATATGATCCTTTATTGACTACATTTTGCCCACAGAGTTGGGTTTATTAACTCACAAACAGATCTTACTGACACAGCCCTGCTTCACAATAGCAGCAGTAAATCTATTACAAAAAACTGTCAAACCATACCACGGGCGGGGATTGAACTCGTGGCGAGTGAGTTGTAAAACTCCAGACCAGCATGTAATCTTATTGTAGCCAGCTGGCTACAATAAGATTCATCCAACTAGGTATATTTATAGTACGTTTGTGGTCACAGTGGGGCCTGTGCTAACCTCTCTATGGTGTATACGTAATTAGTTGGACGAATCTTATTGTAGCCAGCTGGCCCAGTGGCTTACACGCTGGCCAGTTTTACGGCTCACTCACCATGAATTCAGTCCCTGCCGTGGTATGGTTTATTTGCAATCATGTCATTATGATTTTGTGAACCAAAAAGCTGTCAGTTGATACCTCTTTGAAAGCAGTTCATTATTTTGTGGTGCTGAGATCACATTGGTGAGGATTTCTCTTGCCATCTTAGCTGTGGATTGTGAGTGCTTCAATAAACACTGCCCTGTACATTTCTCATACATGGCAACCCATGTACGTGGCCCGGTGGCCTGGTGGCTAAAGCTCCCGCTTCACACACGGAGGGCCCGGGTTCGATTCCCGGCGGGTGGAAACATTTTGACATATTTCCTTACACCTGTTGTCCTGTTCACCTAGCAGCAAATAGGTACCTGGGTGTTAGTCGACTGGTGTGGGTCGCATCCTGGGGGACAAGATTAAGGATCCCAATGGAAATAAGTTAGACAGTCCTCAATGACGCACTGACTTTCTTAGGTTATCCTGGGTGGCTAACCCTCCGGGGTTAAAAGTCCGAACGAAATCTTATCTTATCTCTCTTACATCTTGTTTCTGCTCACCAGGAACTTAAGCCTGCCCCTGAAGCTGAGGCCCTTTGGTGGGTGGATAGATGTAAAATGGGAGAGCAGCTGTTGGTCCTACCTGAATCATTCAGCTAATCATTCATCATACTGTTGCAGTGTTGTTGATGAATTATGTACCCATCTACTTATCTTATTTTCTACCTGGACTAGCAGTTCAGCAGTTCTTGCTGTGTAGAGTTTTCACCCTCGCTAATTGTGTGGTGAGCTAACGTTAGGTGTGGGATAGTGCTTGGCCTACTGACACTTTGCAGTAGGGTGGTGTTTAGTCTACTAAAGGTTTGTGGTGAGGCAATGCTTGGTCTGCTGATGGTGGTTTGTGGTGAAGCAATGTTTGGTCTGCTGATGGTGGTTTGTGGTGAGGCAATGCTTGGTCTGCTGATGGTGGTTTGTGGTGAGGCAATGCTTCGTCTGCTGATGGTGGTTTGTGGTGAGGCAATGTTTGGTCTGCTGATGGTGGTTTGTGGTGAGGCAATGCTTGGTCTGCTGATGGTGGTTTGTGGTGAGGCAATGTTTGGTCTGCTGATGGTGGTTTGTGGTGAGGCAATGTTTGGTCTGCTGATGGTGGTTTGTGGTGAGGCAATGCTTGGTCTGCTGATGGTGGTTTGTGGTGAGCAATGCTTGGTCTGCTGATGGTGGTTTGTGGTGAGGCAATGCTTGGTCTGCTGATGGTGGTTTGTGGTGAGGCAATGCTTGGTCTGCTGATGGTGGTTTGTGGTGAGGCAATGCTTGGTCTGCTGATGGTGGTTTGTGGTGAGGCAATGTTTGGTCTGCTGATGGTGGTTTGTGGTGAGGCAATGCTTGGTCTGCTGATGGTGGTTTGTGGTGAGACAATGTTTGGTCTGCTGATGGTGGTTTGTGGTGAAGCAATGCTTGGTCTGCTGATGGTGGTTTGTGGTGAGGCAATGTTTGGTCTGCTGATGGTGGTTTATGGTGAGGCAATGCTTGGTCTGCTGATGGTGGTTTGTGGTGAGGCAATGCTTGGTCTGCTGATGGTGGTTTGTGGTGAGGCAATGCTTGGTCTGCTGACAGTATGTGGTGAACTGGTATATTTGTATGAAGTTAAGTAAGCACTTAAGGGTATGCTATCCTGCCCAACATCCTGATTCATCAGGCTGAACAAGAAGGCCTGGTCTGGGACCAGGAGGACCAGTCTGGGACCATTCCCACCCACCAACTTGGTTAACCTGTTCTCAAAGCTACCCAAGAATTAGCTTCAGTACCTTAGGTACAGTAATAATCAAACCAACCATTCTCACATATATTTATCCAGTCTCATTTTAAAGCTACACAAGGTTTTAGCTGCTATTACCCTACTCTTTAATTAGTATGGATTACCCTGTTCTTTAATTAGTATAGGTAATTAAATGTGTTTCAGTAAGTGATGGATGTTCTTATTATTTTCAGTGTAAAATACAAAGCAAAGTTGCGATTCGTGCTGGGGGAGACTTTTATTATTCACCTGAGGTTGGTGAGGCTTCATATGACCTGCTGCTGGTGGGTGGAGGTGTTGGTATCAATCCTCTTGCATCAATGTTCCTCCATGCCAACACCTTGCACCAGATTCATAAAAAGAATCCGGAAAAATATCGTCCTGGAAAAATTCTTCTGTTGTATTCAGCCAAGACATACGAAGAATTACTCTATAAAGTAAGTATAAATCTGGTGTTTGATTAAGTTTTTTTAACAGGGAGAGTCATTGAAACAGTAATTGAATGAATAATGGTGAATATTTTTTCTTTTTCTTGGGTTACTCAACCTCAGTGGTAAATGGCCTGTGTGTTAAAAGAACTATCTGTATAAGGTGTTTATTATTATTAATATATTCATGGGAAACACTACTCCTGCGAATGGGAAGTAATCAAGTTTGATCCAAGGAAGTTAAGAGTAGCTCCAGTTCCTTAGATCAAAAAGGAATGAATGAGGTGTCATTCTTTCTTTCTTTCAACACACCAGCCGTATCCCACCAAGGCGGGGTGGCCCAAAAAGAAAAACGAAAGTTTCTCTTTTAAATTTACTAATTTATACGGGAGAAGGGGTTACTAGCCCATTCCTCCTGGCATTTTAGTCGCCTCTTACAACACGCATGGCTTACGGAGGAAGAATTCTGTTCCACTTCCCCATGGAGAACGAGGTGTCATTATAATACATAATATTTTTACATTTGTTCTTTCAGAGGTAAAGATTTGTTGCTCGTAATATCAAATTGGGGAGGAGGAGTATGGAAGAAGTGAATGTTTTCAGATACTTGGGAGTTGACGTGTCGGCGGATGGATTTATGAAGGATGAGGTTAATCATAGAATTGATGAGGGAAAAAAGGTGAGTGGTGCGTTGAGGTATATGTGGAGTCAAAAAACGTTATCTATGGAGGCAAAGAAGGGAATGTATGAAAGTATAGTAGTACCAACACTCTTATATGGATGTGAAGCTTGGGTGGTAAATGCAGCAGCGAGGAGACGGTTGGAGGCAGTGGAGATGTCCTGTCTAAGGGTAATGTGTGGTGTAAATATTATGCAGAAAATTTGGAGTGTGGAAATTAGGAGAAGGTGTGGAGTTAATAAAAGCATTAGTCAGAGGGCAGAAGAGGGGTTGTTGAGGTGGTTTGGTCATTTAGAGAGAATGGATCAAAGTAGAATGACATGGAAAGCATATAAATCTATTGGGGAAGGAAAGAGGGGTAGGGGTCGTCCTCGAAAGGGTTGGAAAGAGGGGTAAAGGAGGTTTTGTGGGCGAGGGGCTTGGACTTCCAGCAAGCGTGCATGAGCGTGTTAGATAGGAGTGAATGGAGACGAATGATACTTGGGACCTGACGATCTGTTGGAGTGTGAGCAGGGTAATATTTAGTGAAGGGATTCAGGGAAACCGGTTATTTTCATATAGTCGGACTTGAGTCCTGGAAATGGGAAGTACAATGCCTGCACTTTAAAGGAGGGGTTTGGGATATTGGCAGTTTGGAGGGATATGTTGTGTATCTTCATACGTATATGCTTCTAAACTGTTGTATTCTGAGCACCTCTGCAAAAGCAGTGATAATGTGTGAGTGTGGTGAAAGTGTTGAATGATGATGAAAGTATTTTCTTTTTGGGTCACCCTGCCTCGGTGGGAGACGACCAATTTGTTGAAAAAAAAAAAAAAATGCTGGTTATAATAAAGAGGCATTCTGTATTTTATTTTATTTTATTAATGCATTCAAAATAAGACATAAAATAAAATACATGTATAATAAAATTTAGTTTTCCAGCAAGATATTCAAATGGTAGTGTCACAGATATTGTTTTACGCTGATATTTTCTTACACAGAAGAGCTCCTAGTTATGTGATTCATAGTTTAATTCATGATTTTATGACCTTTTTCACAGCTTTTTATTCTGTAATTAAATTTCAAATTCAAATTTATTTCTTTGCAAGTAGTACATTGAGATTATGTATTTATAGTATTTACAGGTTGCAGTGCAAACAGAGCCTCTATTATGCCTAGGCATTATGGGCCGACTTAATTTAATTGCTTACTGACTACTTAACACTAAAGAAATATCAATCTTAATCTTAAAATAATGAATCCTAGCTAGTCATAAGTTGGCCTGTGATACTCCAATACTGAAACTATGTATAGTGCCAAAACAAAAGCATTCACATTGCTAAACTCACAAACTAGTATTTAGTCACTTAGCCATAATACCAACTTACCTCATAATTTGTAATATTTTAAATTTAAGAATTAATCTAAGTCTGCCCGAAATGCCTAGCCATGCTAGGTGTTCTAGTGGCCCCCTCTGTAATTAGTATTTTACTACATGTAAACCACACAATAACCAAATTCTGTAAACTCAGCATTGTAATCCTTAAAGAGAATAAACTTTGAATTTGAATTTGAATTGAAATTTATCATAGTTGTAAAGGTCGGCCATCACTAATCCGGCATCTGTGGGGACCTGTAGTGTGCCGGATTAGTGAGTCTGCAGGATTACAGAGTGGTTAGGTTAGAATATACTTAAATAACCTATCAGTAGAGACTTTTTCTCCTACATCTTTCTCATTATCATCACCGTTTTCTCCTCCACTGGCTTGCTGCTGTGGATTTACAACCATCTGCACAATTTCTGAGTCAGTATAATGATGAAATTTGAGATTATCCTAGCCGAAGTTAGTGCCGGATTACTGATGGAGTCGGATAACTGATTGCCGGATTAGTGATGGCTGACTTGTACAGTGAAATTTTTACATGGTGATGGCTTATGAATTATTGTTATATTCACGAGGAAGCACTAAACCCACAGGGTTTCAAAATAATGTAATTATCGACACATTTATTTGTTACAGTAGTAGTACCTTGTTTGTAAAGTATCACTGCAAAATTCATAGTCATCACTTTTAAATTTGCCTATAATTGTTAGGGATTTGGAAAGCAGTAGGCCTGAGTCCTGGAGGTGGAAAGTGCAGTGCCTACACTCTGAAGAAAACGTAGGAATGTTGCAGTTTGGAGTTTCTTCCAAACTGTAAGTAAGTTTATTCAGGTATACACAAATACAGTTACATAGAATTATCATACATAGCAGCATATGTGTAGAGAACCTAGGATAACCCAAAAAAGTCAGACAGAGTGACTTATTTCCATTGGGGTCCTGTGATGTCAGCACACGTATGGCATGACAGCAGTTGAATGAGTGATGGTGAAAGTGTGTCCTTTTTTTTATGGCCCCACCGTACCTTGGTGGGAGACAGCTAGTGTTGTAAAAGAAAATGACTATTATTATGATACGTAATAAAACCTTGGAAATAAGTCACTCTGTCTGACTTTTCTGGGTTATCCCAAGTTCTCTACAAATATGCTGCTATGTATGATAATCTATGTAACTGTATTTGTGTATACCCGAATAAACTTACTTACTTACTTAGCAACATACCTCATTGGTATTCTTCTTACAGACCTTATTAGACAATATCTCGTCAAGTACTCCAGAGACTGCGGTGCAATACTTCACAAGAGAACAACCTGCCTCTGCCTCATCTCCTGTTAAGTGTGAGTTAAATTGTAACCTTAATAAGTTGATTCACATTCAGATATGTCAAGTAAAAGTACGTATTCTCTCTTCTTTACATTACTGTTGTTATAATATTCACAGGAAAGTGCTAAGCCTGTAGGAGTCATACAGTGCCTAGGGAATGGTGGCCTGGTGGCTAAAGCTCCCGCTTCACACACGGAGGGCCCGGGTTCGATTCCCGGCGGGTGGAAACATTCGACACGTTTCCTTACACCTGTTGTCCTGTTCACCTAGCAGCAAATAGGTACCTGGGTGTTAGTCGACTGGTGTGGGTCGCATCCTGGGGGACAAGATTAAGGACCCCAATGGAAATAAGTTAGACAGTCCTCGATGACGCACTGACTTTCTTGGGTTATCCTGGGTGGCTAACCCTCCGGGGTTAAAAATCCGAACGAAATCTTATCTTATCTTATGGGAGGTGTTCAGGTTTGATCTACAGAGGGAAAGGGTTGCTCCAGATATATGGATCGTGAGCCTTTTACTAGCATTAAGTCGCTTTTTTGATGTGTCTTCTCTTAAAATCTTGTAATGAGATATTTTAAATTAGATCTGTCAATGACTATTTTTTTTGTTAATTGAATCAGCTGGTGACCAATAATATTTTTTTAATCAAACAATAGAAGTTTTGGCTAACCTCACTTCATCGTTGTCTATTGTGAGAAACGGTGTTCAACGGTCACCCATCGGGATCTTGGGAAGGAGCAAAACAAGGCATGAGTTATCAGACCATAAAGCAGGTTTTGAGTGCTAACATTATGTGAGAGCTTGTTGTTGTCCAGCCATTTATCTATTATTTTATTTTTTTTATTATCACACCGGCCGATTCCCACCAAGGCAGGGTGGCCCGAAAAAGAAAAACTTTCACCATCATTCACTCCATCACTGTCTTGCCAGAAGGGTGCTTTACACTACAGTTTTTAAACTGCAACATTAACACCCCTCCTTCAGAGTGCAGGCACTGTACTTCCCATCTCCAGGACTCAAGTCCGGCCTGCCGGTTTCCCTGAATCCCTTCATAAATGTTACTTTGCTCACACTCCAACAGCACGTCAAGTATTAAAAACCATTTGTCTCCATTCACTCCTATCAAACACGCTCACGCATGCCTGCTGGAAGTCCAAGCCCTCGCACACAAAACCTCCTTTACCCCCTCCCTCCAACCCTTCCTAGGCCGACCCCTACCCCGCCTTCCTTCCACTACAGACTGATACACTCTTGAAGTCATTCTGTTTCGCTCCATTCTCTCTACATGTCCGAACCACCTCAACAACCCTTCCTCAGCCCTCTGGACAAACAGTTTTGTAATCCCGCACCTCCTCCTAACTTCCAAACTACGAATTCTCTGCATTATATTCCCACACCACACATTGCCCTCAGACATGACATCTCCACTGCCTCCAGCCTTCTCCTCGCTGCAACATTCATCACCCACGCTTCACACCCATATAAGAGCGTTGGTAAAACTATACTCTCATACATTCCCCTCTTTGCCTCCAAGGACAAAGTTCTTTGTCTCCACAGACTCCTAAGTGCACCACTCACTCTTTTTCCCTCATCAATTCTATGATTCACCTCATCTTTCATAGACCCATCCGCTGACACGTCCACTCCCAAATATCTGAATACATTCACCTCCTCCATACTCTCTCCCTCCAATCTGATATTCAATCTTTCATCACCTAATCTTTTTGTTATCCTCATAACCTTACTCTTTCCTGTATTCACCTTTAATTTTCTTCTTTTGCACACCCTACCAAATTCATCCACCAATCTCTGCAACTTCTCTTCAGAATCTCCCAAGAGCACAGTGTCATCAGCAAAGAGCAGCTGTGACAACTCCCACTTTGTGTGTGATTCTTTGTCTTTTAACTCCACGCCTCTTGCCAAGACCCTCTGCATTTACTTCTCTTACAACCCCATCTATAAATATATTAAACAACCACGGTGACATCACACATCCTTGTCTAAGGCCTACCTTTACTGGGAAAAAAATTTCCTTCTTTCCTACATACTCTAACTTGAGCCTCACTATCCTCGTAAAAACTCTTCACTGCTTTCAGTAACCTACCTCCTACACCATACACTTGCAACATCTGCCACATTGCCCCCTATCCACCCTGTCATATGCCTTTTCCAAATCCATAAATGCCACAAAGACCTCTTTAGCCTTATCTAAATACTGTTCACTTATATGTTTCACTGTAAACACCTGGTCCACACACCCCCTACCTTTCCTAAAGCCTCCTTGTTCATCTGCTATCCTATTCTCCGTCTTACTCTTAATTCTTTCAATTATAACTCTACCATACACTTTACCAGGTACACTCAACAGACTTATCCCCCTATAATTTTTGCACTCTCTTTTATCCCCTTTGCCTTTATACAAAGGAACTATGCATGCTCTCTGCCAATCCCTAGGTACCTTACCCTCTTCCATACATTTATTAAATAATTGCACCAACCACTCCAAAACTATATCCCCACCTGCTTTTAACATTTCTATCTTTATCCCATCAATCCCGGCTGCCTTACCCCCTTTCATTTTGCCTACTGCCTCACGAACTTCCCCCACACTCACAACTGGCTCTTCCTCACTCCTACAAGATGTTATTCCTCCTTGCCCTATACACGAAATCACAGCTTCCCTATCTTCATCAACATTTAACAATTCCTCAAAATATTCCTTCCATCTTCCCAATACCTCTAACTCTCCATTTAATAACTCTCCTCTCCTATTTTTAACTGACAAATCCATTGTTCTCTAGGCTTTCTTAACTTGTTAATCTCACTCCAAAACTTTTTCTTATTTTCAACAAAATTTGTTGATAACATCTCACCCACTCTCTCATTTGCTCTCTTTTTACATTGCTTCACCACTCTCTTAACTTCTCTCTTTTTCTCCATATACTCTTCCCTCCTTGCATCACTTCTACTTTGTAAAAACTTCTCATATGCTAACTTTTTCTCCCTTACTACTCTCTTTACATCATCATTCCACCAATCGCTCCTCTTCCCTCCTGCACCCACTTTCCTGTAACCACAAACTTCTGCTGAACACTCTAACACTACATTTTTAAACCTACCCCATACCTCTTCGACCCCATTGCCTATGCTCTCATTAGCCCATCTATCCTCCAATAGCTGTTTATATCTTACCCTAACTGCCTCCTCTTTTAGTTTATAAACCTTCACCTCTCTCTTCCCTGATGCTTCTATTCTCCTTGTATCCCATCTACCTTTTACTCTCAGTGTAGCTACAACTAGAAAGTGATCTGATATATCTGTGGCCCCTCTATAAACATGTACATCCTGAAGTCTACTCAACAGTCTTTTATCTACCAATACATAATCCAACAAACTACTGTCATTTCGCCCTACATCATATCGTGTATACTTATTTATCCTCTTTTTCTTAAAATATGTATTACCTATAACTAAACCCCTTTCTATACAAAGTTCAATCAAAGGGCTCCCATTATCATTTACACCTGGCACCCCAAACTTACTACCACACCCTCTCTAAAAGTTTCTCCTACTTTAGCATTCAAGTCCCCTACCACAATTACTCTCTCACTTGGTTCAAAGGCTCCTATACATTCACTTAACATCTCCCAAAATCTCTCTCTCTCCTCTGCATTCCTCTCTTCTCCAGGTGCATACACGCTTATTATGACCCACTTCTCGCATCCAACCTTGACTTTAATCCACATAATTCTTGAATTTACACATTCATATTCTCTTTTCTCCTTCCATAACTGATCATTTAACATTACTGCTACCCCTTCCTTTGCTCTAACTCTCTCAGATACTCCAGATTTAATCCCATTTATTTCCCCCACTGAAACTCTCCTACCCCTTCAGCTTTGTTTCGCTTAGGGCCAGGACATCCAACTTCTTTTCATTCATAACATCAGCAATCATCTGTTTCTTGTCATCCGCACTACATCCACGCACATTTAAGCAACCCAGTTTTATAAAGTTTTCTTCTTCTCTTTTTTAGTAATTGTATACAGGAGAAGGGGTTACTAGCCCATTGCTCCCGGCATTTTAGTCGCCTCATACGACACGCATGGCTTACGGAGGAAAGATTCTTTTCCACTTCCCCATGGACAATAGAAGAAATAAAAAAGAACAAGAGCTATTTAGAAAAAGGAGAAAAACCTAGATGTATGTATATATATATATGCATGTACGTGTCTGTGAAGTGTGACCAAAGTGTAAGTAGGAGTAGCAAGATATCCCTGTTATCTTAGCGTGTTTATGAGACAGAAAAAGAAACCAGCAATCCTACCATCATGCAAAACAGTTACAGGTTTTTGTTTCACAGTCATCTGGCAGGACGGTAGTACTTCCCTGGGTGGTTGCTGTCTACCAACCTACTACCTACAACCTACTACCATTTATCTATATTATGCATAAATAACTTTCACATGATTCAGTTCGAACCAAAACCTTATCATAAGTTTCTTTTTCCCATGTGCGGGTTATTTGTGTATTGTTCCAGACACGGTATTGCATCGTTTTGTTCTTTATATCATGACATGCTTAACCTGCATCTTTACTCCAGTTAACCCGTAAACGGTCCAAGCAGATCTACGTTCACATGTGTAGTGCTACGAAAGTAGATCTACGTTTTTTTTACATATATTCAAATATAACAAAAAAAAAGTAGATCAAAGTTTTTTTACACATTTTCAAATGTAAAAAAACAAAAAGAAGATCTACTTTTTTTACATACTTTCAAATGTTGAAAAAACGTATATATTACGTATATTATGGGCTCTGGTGGCCTGGTGGTTTACGCTCTGGCTTCACACGGTGAGGGCCTGGGTTCGATTCCCAGCCAGAGTAGAAACATTGGACGTGTTTCTTTCCACCTGTTGTCTATGTTCCCCATCAGTAAAATGGGTACCTGGGTGTTAGTCGACTGGTGTGGGTCGCATCCTGGGACACTGACCTAAGGAGGCCTGGTCACAGACCGGGCCGCGGGGGCGTTGACCCCCGGAACTCTCTCCAGGTAAACTCCAGGTAATACGTTTGGACCATTTACGGGTTAAACCTTTGACTTATATTGTCTGGATTGTCCTGGGACCTTGATCACTTTGAATATTTGAAGTGATCAAGGTCTCAGGATCAAAAAAACTTCACTAAAATTGATATAATTCTTCATTCCATTTCCATGCCCACCATTTACAATTTCCTCCTGACTTATTAACCCCTAATGTTAGCCGCTTCCTTTAGTTAACTGTTAAATTGTTCCAGAGGTCATTGCCCCATAGTCCCAAATTAGGCCTTATAAATTGGAAAGGAAATATTACAGAAAAATAGAAAAATAGACCTATTACAAGAATGACAGGAAAGTAAAACTGTGTACACTTCAGGCAGGAATTTGTAAGATTTACTTTGCATCTTATATTTTTTTTTTTTTTATTAGCACACTGGCCGATTCCCACCAAGGCAGGGCGGCCCGAAAAAGAAAAACTTTCACCATCATTCACTCCATCACTGTCTTGCCAGAAGGGTGCTTTACACTACAGTTTTTAAACTGCAACATTAGGTGGCCCGGTGGCCTGGTGGCTAAAGCTCCCACTTCAGACACGGAGGGCCCGGGTTCGATTCCCGGTGGGTGGAAACATTTCGACACGTTTCCTTACACCTGTTGTCCTGTTCACCTAGCAGCAAATAGGTACCTGGGTGTTAGTCGACTGGTGTGGGTCGCATCCTGGGGGACAAGATTAAGGCCCCCAATGGAAATAAGTTAGACAGTCCTCGATGACGCACTGACTTTCTTGGGTTATCCTGGGTGGCTAACCCTCCGGGGTTAAAAATCCGAACGAAATCCTATCCTATCCTAACATTAACACCCCTCCTTCAGAGTGCAGGCACTGTACTTCCCATCTCCAGGACTCAAGTCCGGCCTGCCGGTTTCCCTGAACCCCTTCATAAATGTTACTTTGCTCACAATCATGAAAACACAAAAGAAAAAGAACAGCAATCCTTCCAAAATGAAAAAACATGAAACATTCTTCCGTTTTACACTTCCATAACAATGTGAGTGAGTGGAGGCAAGTGGTGTTTGTGAGCTGATGTGCTAATGGAGTGTGAACAAAGTAACATTTATAAAGGAATTCAGGGAAACTAATTAGCCAGACTTAAGTCCTGGAGGTGCAAGTATAGTACCTGCACTCTGAAGGAGGGATAAGGATGTTTCAGTTCAGAGGACAATCTAAACTGCAGTGTGAGCACGTAAGAATGTTGCAGTTCAGAGGACAATCTAAACTGCAGTGTGAGCACGTAAGAATGTTGCAGTTCAGAGGGCAATCTAAACTGCAGTGTGAGCACGTAAGAATGTTGCAGTTCAGAGGGCAGTCTAAACTGCAGTGTGAGCACGTAAGAATGTTGCAGTTCAGAGGGCAATCTAAACTGCAGTGTGAGCACGTAAGGATGTTGCAGTTCAGAGGGCAATCTAAACTGCAGTGTGAGCACGTAAGGATGTTGCAGTTCAGAGGGCAATCTAAACTGCAGTGTGAGCATGTAAGGATGTTGCAGTTCAGAGGGCAGTCTAAACTGCAGTGTGAGCACGTAAGGATGTTGCAGTTCAGAGTGCAATCTAGACTGTGGTGTCAGAACATTTCTGGCAAGACAGAGATTTAATGAATGGCGGTGAATGTATTTCCTCTTTTTTGGGTCACTCTACCTTCGTGGGACATAGTTAACATGTTAAAAATAAAAACAAATACGAAACTAAGTTTACTTTTTCTCGCTAAACAGACGGCCGCATAACACAAGAGGTTCTGAAGTCTGCCATTGACTCCTTGGATACATCATCACTGAAAACCTTCATCTGTGGTCCACCACCTATGATTGAGAACATAAACCAACATCTTTTATCATGTGGTTTATTGCAAAATCAAATCTTTTATGAAAAATGGTGGTAAATTGTTTGATGTGGTTGTTTATAAAAACTTGAGTACAATATTGTTTTAGAATATGCCGTAAATGACGAAATTAATTACCATAACGTTTACTAATGTACACACACTAAGGAAAGAAATTGTATCTCGAGTACTGTACATTTCAGTTCAGTTTTTGTTAACTTTTTTCACCAAAATATAGTATTCATTTAACAATAATGATCATAAGGAAGTTATTTTCTTTAATATTAAAATTAAGGAGTTTGATGATTGTGTAGCTCAGGAATTTTTATAATACCGTATTACTTAATTTATTGTGAAAATTAAAAAATTTTCATTTTTTTTTTTTACCTTTAAAAATAGTATCCAATTTAAACATTGATTTTGTTCCTCAGGGATACCCAGACATCTTATGCAGCTGTGTATTTTATACCAATCACTTAAATGTACAATGCTAATGTACACTATTAATTTATATAGTATATAAGAAAGCATTGATCCCATAATGTCTATACAGCCTCTCCTTACTTAATGACGAAGTTCTGCTCCTAAGACCACGTCAGTAAACGAATTCGTTGCTAAGTGAGGAGCATACTATAATGGTGGTGGGTTTATGCCAGCCAGTCTTTGATATTGTTTTCATGTCACCTTTGCACCATTTATAACATTTCTGGATATTTTTAAATGTTTTTACAGTAGTGTACTGTATATTGAAATAAACAAAATAGAGGAAATCAGCTCTAACATACATTATTTAGGTATAAATACTGGTCAGAGAGCCCATCGTAAGTCCGAGGCATCGGTAAACAAGTACTTTGCTAAATGAGGAGAGGCTGTATTATTATTATTATTATTATTATTATTATTATATTTTTGGGCCACCCTACCGTGGTGGGAAATGGCTGATGTTTTAATAATAAATATTGATAGCGATGAACCCATATTGTTTATACAATGCCCAGGGAATGGGATGTAATCGGGTTTGATCTGAGTAATGGGAGGGTACGAGTAGCTTTGATTTTCTCGATAAAGAGCCCTACACCAGGTGAAGATAAATGTCACAAAGCCAACAAGTGAACTATTGCATCTTCGTGTGTGTGTGTGCATGTGTGTGTGTGTGTGTGCATGTGTGTGTGTGTGTGTGCATGTGTGTGTGTGTGTGTGTGTGTGTGTGTGTGTGTGTGTGTGTGTGTGTGTGTGTGTGTGTGTGTGTGTGTGTGTGTGCAATTTGTAAGAGTATTTATTGTATTTATTAATTATGTGTGAGTCTGGGTTAAGAATAAGCAGGTAACAGAATTTGATGTGTAACTTGATGCCTGTCTAGTTAGGCTTGACTAACTCTACAGGCACCTCAGGTATTTGTGGCTCCTCTAGGAAGGTTTGTTGATGCTGGAGAGTGGCTCTTGATTCAAGGAATTGGACATGTCCTCTCATTCCTTGGATCAAAACTGATTGCTTCTCATTCCCAGATGCTATGTGACACCTATGAGTGTAGTGTTTCTCCGTAAATATAATAATAATAATAGTATAGGTAGTAGGTTGGTAGACAGCAGCCGCCCAGGGAGGTACTGCCGTCCTGTGGTAGTAGGTTGGTAGACAGCAGCCGTCCAGGGAGGTACTGCCGTCCTGTGGTAGTAGGTTGGTAGACATCAGCCGCCCAGGGAGGTACTGCCGTCCTGTGGTAGTAGGTTGGTAGACAGCAGCCGCCCAGGGAGGTACTGCCATCCTGTGGTAGTAGGTTGGTAGACAGCAGCCGCCCAGGGAGGTACTGCCGTCCTGTGGTAGTAGGTTGGTAGACAGCAGCCGCCCAGGGAGGTATTGCCGTCCTGTGGTAGTAGGTTGGTAGACAGCAGCCGCCCAGGGAGGTACTGCCGTCCTGTGGTGGTAGGTTGGTAGACAGCAGCCACCCAGGGAGGTACTGCCGTCCTGTGGTAGTAGGTTGGTAGACAGCAGCCGCCCAGGGAGGTACTGCCGTCCTGTGGTAGTAGGTTGGTAGACAGCAGCCTCCCAGGGAGGTACTGCCATCCTGTGGTAGTAGGTTGGTAGACAGCAGCCGCCCAGGGAGGTACTGCCGTCCAGTGGTAGTAGGTTGGTAGACAGCAGCCGCCCAGGGAGGTACTGCCGTCCTGTGGTAGTAGGTTGGTAGACAGCAGCTGCCCAGGGAGGTACTGCCATCCTGTGGTAGTAGGTTGGTAGACAGCAGCCGCCCAGGGAGGTACTGCCGTCCTGTGGTAGTAGGTTGGTAGACAGCAGCCGCCCAGGGAGGTATTGCCGTCCTGTGGTAGTAGGTTGGTAGACAGCAGCCGCCCAGGGAGGTACTGCCGTCCTGTGGTGGTAGGTTGGTAGACAGCAGCCACCCAGGGAGGTACTGCCGTCCTGTGGTAGTAGGTTGGTAGACAGCAGCCTCCCAGGGAGGTACTGCCATCCTGTGGTAGTAGGTTGGTAGACAGCAGCCGCCCAGGGAGGTACTGCCGTCCAGTGGTAGTAGGTTGGTAGACAGCAGCCGCCCAGGGAGGTACTGCCGTCCTGTGGTAGTAGGTTGGTAGACAGCAGCCGCCCAGGGAGGTACTGCCGTCCTGTGGTAGTAGGTTGGTAGACAGCAGCCACCCAGGGAGGTACTGCCATCCTGTGGTAGTAGGTTGGTAGACAGCAGCCACCCAGGGAGGTACTACTGTCCTGCCAAGTGAGTGTAAAATGAAAGCCTGTAATTGTTTTACATGATGGTAGGATTGCTAGTGTCCTTTTTTCTGTTTCATAAACATGCAAGATTTCAGGTACGTCTTGCTACTTCTACTTACACTTAGGTCACACTACACATACATGTACAAGCCTATATATACACACACACCTCTGGGTTTTCTTCTATTTTCTTTCTAGTTCTTGTTCTTATCTATTTCCTCTTACCTCCATGGGGAAGTGGAACAGAATTCTTCCTCCGTAAGCCATGCTTGTTGTAAGAGGCGACTAAAATACCGGGAGCAAGGGGCTAGTAACCCCTTCTCCTGTACATATTACTAAATTTAAAAGGCGAAACTTTGGTTTTTCCTTTTGGGAGCGCTTGAGGTTCCTAAACCTGTATTCCCTGGAATGCAGGAGGGAGAGATACATGATTATATACACCTGGAAAATCCTAGAGGGACTAGTACCGAACTTGCACACGAAAATCACTCACTACGAAAGCAAAAGACTTGGCAGACGATGCACCATCCCCCCAATGAAAAGCAGGGGTGTCACTAGCACGTTAAGAGACCATACAATAAGTGTCAGGGGCCCGAGACTGTTCAACTGCCTCCCAGCACACATAAGGGGGATTACCAACAGACCCCTGGCAGTCTTCAAGCTGGCACTGGACAAGCACCTAAAGTCAGTTCCTGACCAGCCGGGCTGTGGCTCGTACGTTGGTTTGCGTGCAGCCAGCAGCAACAGCCTGGTTGATCAGGCTCTGATCCACCAGGAGGCCTGGTCACAGACCGGGCCACGGGGGCGTTGACCCCCGGAACTCTCTCCAGGTAAACTCCAGGTAAACCCCACCTCAGTGGGATACGGCTGGTGCATTGAGAAAATAATAATAATAATAATAATAATAATAATAATAATTAATAATAATGATAATCAAGTTTGGATGAGTATCCCCAAACTCTCATATTCCTACAGTAATATAAAAAAAATTTTAATGTACTTATTAAAATTATTATTATATCTGTTCTTGATGTTTAGTATAAGAATGTGAACACTATACATATAGTGTATGGTGTTGTATGTTTCCCTCAAAGGGAGTTCCTTGATGCTGGTGAAGGGCACTTGATCTAAGGAATTGAACCTGTGCTTCCTTCTATCAAGCCTGAGTGCCTCCTATTGCCCTCCTTCCAGGCACTGTGTGAACCAGATGGGTTTTGCACACCCCCTCCCCTCCCTTGAATGTAATAACACAGTGACCAACAGTAGGTTAGGTAATATTCACTAAGAAACAGGACAAGTTTTTCCAGAAGCTGGTCTTAGTTATATGATGATCTCCCACTGCAGTTTTCGGTCATCTTTTGCTAATAAACAATGTAAATATCTGTAGTAAATTTTTAATAAATGTTTTTTAATGATGAATTGGATTTTTAATAATAATACTAATAATACAGTGGACCCCCGGTTAACGATATTTTTTCACTCCAGAAGTATGTTCAGGTGCCAGTACTGACCGAATTTGTTCCCATAAGGAATATTGTGAAGTAGATTAGTCCATTTCAGACCCCCAAACATACACGTACAAACGCACTTGCATAAATACACTTACATAATTGGTCACGTTCGGAGGTAATCGTTATGCGGGGGTACACTGTAATCTTTATGTCTACAAGTACATGTACAAGGTATACAGACCATAGCTGACATCAATGACATACTACTTCGTAGAAAGTCGCTGGTTATACAGAGCATTTGAGGCAAATTAGGTCAGTCTTGTCCCCAGGATGTGACCCACACCAGTCAACTAACACCCAGGTACCTATTTTACTGCTAGGTATCTGAACATAGACAGTAGGTGTCTTAACCCTTTGAGGGTTTCGGACGTACTAGTACGGCTTACGACCCTGGGTTTTTGACGTACTAGTACGCCTGAATGGGTTGCAATATATATAATGTATATTATGATTATGAATATAATGTATATTATTTAATGTAATGTTAAATGATCAGTTATGGAAGGAGAAAAGAGAATATGAATGTGTAAATTCAAGAATTATGTGGATTAAAGTAAAGGTTGGATGCGAGAAGTGGGTCATAATAAGCGTGTATGCACCTGGAGAAGAGAGGAATGCAGAGGAGAGAGAGAGATTTTGGGAGATGTTAAGTGAATGTATAGGAGCCTTTGAACCAAGTGAGAGAGTAATTGTGGTAGGGGACCTGAATGCTAAAGTAGGAGAAACTTTTAGAGAGGGTGTGGTGGGTAAGTTTGGGGTGCCAGGTGTAAATGATAATGGGAGCCCTTTGATTGAACTTTGTATAGAAAGGGGTTTAGTTATAGGTAATACATATTTTAAGAAAAAGAGGATAAATAAGTATACAAGATATGATGTAGGGCAAAATGACAGTAGTTTGTTGGATTATGTATTGGTAGATAAAAGACTGTTGAGTAGACTTCAGGATGTACATGTTTATAGAGGGGCCACAGATATATCAGATCACTTTCTAGTTGTAGCTACACTGAGAGTAAAAGGTAGATGGGATACAAGGAGAACAGAAGCATCAGGGAAGAGAGAGGTGAAGGTTTATAAAATAAAAGAGGAGGCAGTTAGGGTAAGATATAAACAGCTATTGGAGGATAGATGGGCTAATGAGAGCATAGGCAATGGGGTCGAAGAGGTATGGGGTAGGTTTAAAAAATGTAGTGTTAGAGTGTTCAGCAGAAGTTTGTGGTTACAGGAAAGTGGTGCAGGAGGGAAGAGGAGCGATTGGTGGAATGATGATGTAAAGAGAGTAGTAAGGGAGAAAAAGTTAGCATATGAGAAGTTTTTACAAAGAAGTGATGCAAGGAGGGAAGAGTATATGGAGAAAAAGAGAGAGGTTAAGAGAGTGGTGAAAGCATGTAAAAAGAGAGCAAATGAGAGAGTGGGTGAGATGTTATCAACAAATTTTGTTGAAAATAAGAAAAAGATTTGGAGTGAGATTAACAAGTTAAGAAAGCCTAGAGAACAAATGGATTTGTCAGTTAAAAATAGGAGAGGAGAGTTATTAAATGGAGAGTTAGAGGTATTGGGAAGATGGAGGGAATATTTTGAGGAATTGTTAAATGTTGATGAAGATAGGGAAACTGTGATTTCGTGTATAGGGCAAGGAGGAATAACATCTTGTAGGAGTGAGGAAGAGCCAGTTGTGAGTGTGGGGGAAGTTCGTGAGGCAGTAGGTAAAATGAAAGGGGGTAAGGCAGCCGGGATTGATGGGATAAAG